AATCCGTGAGCTTAACACGTTGGCGACGTTATTGTTCGGTCAATGCTGACCGACAGGCAGTCTGTCACATGGGACGATGTCGGTCAATGGTGACCGACAGCTTGAAAGTAAGCAAACTTAGATGGAACCCGCGACTTTTCTATTTCAACGTTTACTTCAGTGTCCTAACTTACTACACTTGTCTGCGAATTATGATCTTTCTAATTCCTGGGAGTTTTATTCTGAATTAGTTATCAGTGGCAGAAACGCGCTGTCAATTGAATCACAACCACAAAGTTCCCACCGTCAGCAAACTGGAAATCTCACTAAAATTGTTCATATCGACCTTTACTAATTAGGTCACCGTCAGTAGAATGTCCATTTCTAGCCTTAGGTTCCCATGATGGTCAAGTAGGCTCAGTCTTACTCATAGGCAGGACAAAAGTACCTATCCAGTCCATCAACTGCCAAATATTTCACAAACAGGTTTTTTGACCTTGAAATGACTCGTTTAAATCACTTATTCGATCATGAAGAACAAGATAACAGTCAAACAAAAGCTCATTCCGTCAGGTACGCAAAGTTTTTTGCGTCATTCTTAAAGGACGAATTTACGATGGAAAAGCAACCCATTCCAAATTGAGGTAGAGATGGTGAGTAGTACCAGAAAGAAAGCGAAACCACGAAAAACGGCCCAGAACCGGAGAAATGGGACCCCTTCCTTGTCCGTTGATTTGAGCATTGATGGGACTCTCATCGCTTTGCCCTCTTCAACCCTACGCTCTCTCAGCTATCTAATCACTCGCCACCTATTGTACTACGGCGAGTGATCAGACGATCGGTGGGCGGAGATCGCCGAACTCGCCAACTTTGAGCCATGCTAGATCTCAGAGGTCAAATCTTTCGATGCCGATTGCGTGTCTGTCCGCACCCTCAAGAGATTCACGTACGGTGGGGAGGTGTGTACACTCGGCGGGCCGTGTGATGTCTGTTCATGTTATTACATTGTGCTTCTCGCACTCTCTCCAACTAGGCGGATTTCTCACCTTCGTCGACCTTCGTTCTTGTCCGATGCAATCGTCATTCTTGAGTGAAAAATTCGTAGAAGATTTCAGATGTGATCAGGATACCAGTACCATCTAAAGGAAAGCTCATATTAATAATAAAAATGAAGAATGCGTGAAATTGCGCCTTCAGAACCTATTCTAACCATGAGGTTTGAAAATGCCAGGCGATGTCACTGAAATTTCACCCAGCATTCAGTAGTAACAACTTTTCCTTGTTTCTAAACGTGTCTGGAGTACTCTAGTCAAAGGCATTTTGTGCATTTCGAGATTTTACAGAGCTACAAAATAAGTTTTGCCCTGTTGTTACCGGCGCTTTGCATGCAAAAAACGCCTCGTCCCATGCGCGCGACAAGGAAAAAATCGCTCGTCGTCAACGTGTTAAATTCTCGCAGCGGTTACTTGGCACATGTCTCATGTTTTCAAGCTGTTCGCCCACCCCCCCGCATCTTTGCGATAGCGCTAAAAGAGGAATAGAGGTTTATGGTCGGTTGTGGAGCCCGGAGCAGCCCGGTCGACAGTCAGCATGTTTTAGCCCCGGATACCGCGATAATGTAAAGGTCAAGAAAGGGGAACGTGGTGTAAGACAAGCGGGACTTCTGGGAAGCAGACGACATGTGATTCGCAGGGAAGAATTGCATCAGCCCGGTCGCAGCACTGGCCGCGCCCGCGCGGCTATTCTGCCCGTATGACCGCCCACCCTCTCGGACACTCCGCGTTCCCAGCCTTTAGCAGAGAGAGCGTTAACAGTCGAAAGAGCAGCAACTGACGAGCGTTGCCCGACGTGCGAACCCTAAATCAGGAAGGGTTCCATTCCGTCGGTTCTAAGGCCGTTCTCTCACGTTTTCTTCCATACTCGTGCACCACTGACCACCTCTATCTAAATTCTTACTCTGCCTCCTAAACGTAAACTCCCCTTCAATATGAACTGGACTCAAAAACAACTTACTCGTCCAAACTGTGGCGTACAATCATAAACTCTATAAACAATCCAGGAATATTTATATTGAGCGGAAGAATCCGTGGAAGATCCGTATGCAAAGCTTCTCTGTAGGCTAATCCTTGTTCAACTAAAGGAAGGAAATCCTTGACCCTGTAAACAATCATCTGCTGTTGTGACAATTCGTGTATGTGTTTTCCTACTATGTACTTTTACGGCACACTCTTAAATCGGAAGTTTCTTGCCGCTAGCACTCTCGTCGACAGGTGCTTGCCACCATTGAGCACCAAGAGATTCTGATTCGGTTGGTTTTCATTCGCCGCGCATGTAAAAAAACGCAATTGTTCAAGAATCTCTTCATGTAAACGCGCGTTCAGTCAGTCGAATATACCAGAAGTTTCAAAGAAGAGGCCGTTCCATACTTCGCACTGTCTTGGCCGCGCCCCGCTTCATCGAGCGCAAGTCACTCGGGCAAACAAGAGGGTTCCATTTTGCTTTTCGTGCCAGATTTCTTCGCTTTCTTTCGCCAACTTGGCGTACCACTAAGGACCTTTCACGTCCTCTAACCTATTCGTATCGCTGCCTTCAGGGTGCTCACACTTCCGTCCCCGCTTTCGATATTGCCCGAGAAGAATTGGTGTCCATCAGAACAGTGCACCGGGAGCTCAGAATTTTTGTGTAATGGTAATATTGGGAAGAATGTCAACCAAGCACGTAACCCTCGTACAGCCACCGTTTTGAATAATAACTCACTTGCTATTTCACAAAAGAATGAGAATCGATACCAACCACTTCGCCTTGAACCTGAAACTCAAGAGTTAGAGAGATATCGTTGGTAAATGGAATAAGAAAGTGCTGACCTCTAGTGATAACAATTCGATTACATCACATTCATAACCGGACTCTTCTCGAACTTCTCGTTTAACAGCGTTCTGAAAAAAAAAAAAACTGAAAAATTGTTGGGTTCGCGACATGTGATGCCCTGGCGTATGTCGTTGAGCGGGTGGGGGGGGGGGGGGAAGGGGAAGACATTCAAGTGAATTAGTGATCCACTGCACTTGGAACTAAGCCTCAGGAAGGGGAAGGGATTCTGAAGGATGTTAATAGTTCCTTTCCTCCCTGGCGTCTCAGGAATATCGGGGAATTGAAGATCGGTCATGCAACCCCGCCTAAGCCTTGTCACCGCTTTCAAGATACAGGGGGTGTTTTGCGCTGGCTTTGAGATGTGTCCGCCAAAGCGCTCATGCTGGGGGGGGGGGTGGTTATTGAAGTGGTGTGGAGTCACTCACAAGAAACTTGGGCCAGTCTTAGGCCCGAAAGGGATTCTGAATGATGCATGAACGACCCTTTGTTCTCCGTCACGCTTCTTCCCTCTTCCTCGGGCCTAGTCTTATTTGGTGTACGATCATTTCAGCGATTTTTAAATGCCCCATTTTGAATGTCCCCACCCCCTAAGGCCATGAGCGCCCTGTTCACTTCCACTCACCTCAAGTGTTTCGCCGGCTTCGACACGTCCTGCCGGCATATACCATTTGCCGTAGCAGGTCTTTTTGGCCTCCTGGATGAGGAGACCTCGTCTCGGCCCTTCTGCCTCGGAAATGATAACCCGCAGCGACCAGTATTCGACCTTGTCATCGTAATCGATACATATCGGCACTCTAGAAGTACTGTTGATTATTTCCGATACGGTAGTAGTATCAAACCCGTATTAAAAACTTCACTTCCTAATTGCATATCGGGTACCCGTTCTCCATTCATAATTTCGCCCTCCAGATGTTTCTTCTTCTCTTTTGGTGCACTTTTTCCATTCTTCAAGATTCCCCGAGTAGGTGAATCGCCTGAACACATGTGCACTCGCTGACATGAAGAAAATACAGGGTGTGAATTAAAAAACCGTTGGAATTCTACCTTATATTCAATCCGATATCTGTATTTGTTTTGTGTGCTTTTGTGTTTATCTGTAAATGTCTGTCAATAATTCCTTGAAGTTCAATTTGAAAAGCGGCTTTATTTTCAGGACCGGTTGTTGTGGTAGTTACACATCGACACCACTTTTACATCTACTAGAACCTAGCCAAACCTTTGAAAACTCCTGTTTAGGAGCCACAACACGCACGGACCTGCCACCAGGGTCATCCGTGACGTTCACACTTTTTCAGAATATTTTGCACCCCCATATCCTTATAACTTAGAGGGCTGCTTCGATGCGACCGCCCACCACCACCATAAGGACATCAGAGGCTTCCCTAATTCGATCTACCCTCTTCGGTCGCGCCAGAGTTGCTGTTTACTGTCATGTCTTTGATTCTGAGACGGCAGTATCAAACAGCAACCTGTGCGCCCAACTATTTCACTCAAAAACAGCGTCGACCGGGGGTGAGGGGCGGGGGAGGGGAAGCGTCCAAGAGGCGGAATGCCTACCTTCACTTCTCAAAATCAACCACAAATACGACCCCCTCCCCTCGTTCGAATGGTGCGAACACACGGTTATACCTGCCTGTGCTAAGAACTGCCCTAAGAACAAATCTTCGGGAATTGAATCGCCTAAATTCCACGATAAGGTTCGAAGTCGAAAGAAGGATTCTAAAAGGCAGCGGCTTCACTGAATTCATAAAAGGTGCCTGAACGGAGCGCATATCCAGCGACCGGTCATTCCGGCAATCGGCAGGGCCGCCCCGCGCGGCTAGATCGACGCGGCACCGTCACCGACTGCTGACAGCACTCGCTGGAGGTTCTTAGCTTAACGAGAGAGGGTTTCAGGATTGAGGAGGGCAGCAAATCAATGCTGCAATCAAGCGGCCAAAGGTGTCTATTACTCAGGTTTGGAGCCGTTCCTTATAAAGTTCTTCATCCGCGCCGCAGTGACCGACCCGCTTCTTAATACTGATCAGCAGCCTTAATCGCCACCTACTCCGCCTTTACAAGACGAGCGAAAGCTACTTAATGTGAAATGAAAAGTTTTAGAGTTCATGGTTGTTTAGAGAAGGAGAATATTCAAATTGCCAGTAAGAAAGGGCATGGAAAGAAGGTGATGATGAATGTTGGGACATGCATTGCAGTTGGAAGAGAAGATGAAAACGCAGATGCTGCAAAGCGGCGTTAAAAAAACGTTTTCGTGAAAATGAACGTGAAACATGAGAAAACAGAGAACATATCAAAACAAGCACTGATTTCAAGATCGGGAAAAGAGGTAAAAAAGGAAACGAGCAAAAACAAAGCGAAGCCGGATGAAATTTCAAACTTTGGCGTGGGGGAATGAAGCTTCCGCCCAGGAAACCTCACTGCATCTTGCATTTTCCTTGCAAACCCATAAGTCCGAAGATTGGACAGAAGGTAAAGCACCGGATTCTTTATAAGATTAATGCCCTAACTCTAGAAGCCCTTCTTCGAGCCCGCAGTGCTTCGTGCCATTAATCCGTCATCTGTGCATTTTGAATCTTTCGTACTCCACTGACACTCTGGAAACGCAGCAAAGAGACGAGAATATCATGATTTCAACTTTCAACTCGAAAATATTGGGCCATTCGAGGACTGTGATCACCCTATTGGATAAATTAGTGCCATCAAATGACGGTCCGGCTGCTCGTTGGCACACGATACTCCGCCAAACTGAGTTTTATATTTCTAGACCGAAATTGTCTATTATTTTTGATGGCTTGTGTTATATGCCAATAGTAAGTTAACGTGGACTACAACGGAGGTAAGGAAAGACTTAACTGATAGGATCAGGATTAGACCAACGCCGTCTTGACTAACTCGAGAGCTAGGGGGTCCCGCAGAACCATCCGAAATGTCGACCGGACGTGTTGACCGCCTTGTACGATAACATGCCAATTTCATTGAGGCTTCCCATTTCATGACTGATCGTGCAGTCAGACATTTAGTGTGGTGGTCTTGAGCAGATATCTTAGGCAGCGTTCCCAAAGTTGATGAATTGGGATTGTACTCAAGGCTTCACCTGAAAGCTGTCAGCTCTTGAGAACAAGCAATTTCCAAAACGTTCTGCATCACTGAAGGGTAAGCAGCTCACTAAGGAAGGAACCAAACGAAAATCTGACTAACCTCCGTCAATGAACTCCGGGGTGGGTTCCGGCGTCGGATCCCGACTTTCGGCTATATACTCCTCGTCTGAGACGACCATATCTGAAAATTGTACTCAGTGCCTGTAATTTAGTCCATTTAATGGTCGAACTGCATCGCATAACATCAAACGAAATGATCACAGCACCAGGAATCAGCGGAGGATATACATGAAACGAGGAGGAATATACCACGGAATATACCGAATTGAAAGTAACAAGAACAAAAGACCAGTGCACCTTGAACGGCACGACTTCCCCTTCACATCTGTGTTTGGAAGCGAGAAGAGCAGGTGCTAACTTAGTTGGGGGGGACCACGCGGCGGCGCGGCGCTTTGCTCGCCTGGCGCTCTCTCGAGCGAGATAGTGTGAACTCGAACATTCCAGCTTTTCACGCATGTCAAGTGACTGCCCTCACCCCCACCCCCTAGACTGCCTACAGTCCCCCTGGCTCACGGATTTCCCGAAGTACGCAAAGATGCCAGGCGAGCAAAGCGCCGCGCCGCCGCGTGGTCCCCCCCAACTAAGTTAGCACCGAAGAGTAGATTGATTATGATCTGTGCCTTTAAGCTTAACGTAAAATGCGAAGTTCGAAGTCGTGCCTCATTCTTGTGTTCTGCGCTTGGTCCAAAAATAGTGTACTACTATGCCATGTTTCAGATCTCGGACGGAAGTGCTTGTTCATAAGTCCATAACAGACGAAGATATGCTCATCGAGCACGAGCAGCCTTTCCCAACGGTGGAATTCGGCTTCGAATATTTCTTTGCAATGGTCGTCTCTAAAGTCTACAGGGTAATTTACTATATCAATTTTGCTATTCAGCAAGTGATTGGACACACAACTATTCTCAATATGATAAAACTGATAACTTGGCCTTGAATGTCCTGAATAGCTCGTTGCAGCACCTTCTGGAAGAGGGCGGTAACGTCGTGTTCGCTCCGTCACATGTCGTCCGAATCAAGTGCCATCCGAATCCGTTGCAGTCATTAGCTCACGGTATTTCGGTCCGATTATACTGTCAACACAAGAAAAGTGCCACGAAAGCAGTGATACGAAGTCCACGGTAGGCGGAGCCAAACTTCTCAACGGCTATAAGAGCTCGATTTGCATTCGTTCAGATACCATTGGATACCGGTGGAGAGCAAGTCGATACGCGAACAATTGTACATGGAAAAGAATCAATATCGTCCAACGTTAAGAATGATCTAGTCACAACTCCCCCCCCCCCCAACTTCTCCCCGCCCCCATACAGTGCATTCTCATAAGTGCTTCCTGAAGAGCACTCTGCTTTTAAATGATGAATTTATAAAAAGTTCAAGGGAACGTAACACACCTTTGAATATTTAATTATTTGGGTTCATAATCTCTCTCAGAAGACGTGTGCATATTGCTTATTATTGATGATTTAATAAATCATTTATTGTCATCTGTTCCTGTGTTTATTTCATGGAATTTCAGACAAATTTTCGAATTTTCCCATTCTGAAGCAGGGTCAACCGTTACGTTGGACCGATATTGGAGCGACGTTGGACCGATGTTATACCGCGACAAAGTCCAACGCGACGACGAGAGTAATGCCGAGAGTGAACGTACGCACGGAGACACAGACGGCTCGCGGGTGGCGAGAGTGAATGCCGGCGCGGAGAGCGGTGAACATCGGTCCAACGTCGCTCCAATATCGGTCCAACGTAACGGTTGACCCTGTCTGGGTCCAATTATATCAAGTGTGCCTATTTCGCATAGAGTGCTGACATTCTATGTTTTGGATATAAGTTCTGAAAAGAGCTCTGCCTGATTTACCTTACTTTATTACATTCTACTCGCATGTGTAAACAAAGATAATATTAACAAAACACAACGTTGAAAAAGAAACTAAGTTAACATAGGCGAATAAAACGAAAAGAGGAAAACACGAGAGTACGCTACTGAATGGAATTTAGATAATGAGATACCTTGCTTTTAAATGCGGAGAAGAAACCTGGTTTTTGTATTTTTGCTCATTTTAAGTACTCCCAATACCATCACTCGACGTGAAAACCTGCGCCCAAACGATGAAACGCGGTTGTCCGAAAGCGTGCATAACCCTCTCTTCCTGGTCTGGCTGGACCACATTGTGTTTACAGCCTACAATTTTAAAGGAATCTTCCACGGAAAAAGCTCCGCCCTCATTACCACAGAAAACGATACCTTAAAGGAATCTTCCACGGAAAGAGTGATCATTTTGTCTTGTGTGTAGGATTAGTATTATCGAAACTAACGCTTATGTTCCGTTCTTTTTGCTATGCTCATGAGGCTAGGGGCCTAAGGTATCGTTTTTCTGTGGTAATGGAGGCGGAGCTTTTTCCGCGGAAGATTCCTTTAATGTCGTATAATCTTAAATATACGAAGTTATTTACTTCTGTCCAGCCAGGAACCAAGGGGAGGAGAGTTATCGCTCACGCTTTCGACAATCGCGTTCATCGTTTGGCGCGCAAGGTTTCTTCAGTATTCGGTGCGGTATGAGCTACTTGAAAGAGTTCTCATTTAAAGGATATTGTACACCATGAGTAAGTCATTCCTCTTCAGCCTTAATTGTACAGGGTCCAAACCAAGCATTTTGTTCCTGATGACCCTGATGATCGGGGGATGCTTCTGTATGTAAATCCTAGCGTTCTCAGGAATAGTTTCTTTGAAAAGTTATTTTTGAATCTTTTCTCACTTACTGAGAAGGGCTTTGCTATGAGGGAAATAGATGCAAGTACCGTATTCCAAAAAGTACGTAGATTTTGTATGCTCTCACAAGCGTAATGGGATTTTTTGGTTTTGAGAGATTTGAACAAAAGAAAAACTCTTCGGTCGGCCTTAGTTATAATGATTTTGGGGTGCTCCTCAAATCATAGTTTTTGAGGAGCACCCCAAAATCATTATAGTTTTGGATCAAGAGTGAATCCCAGATCTTTAACCACATCAGCGGTACCAAGGACGCGATCATGGATGTAGTAAAAGATGTTTGGATTAGATTCACCTAGGTGAAGTATCTTCGTTTTATGAGCTGACAAGGGAAGCATTTGCACGATGGAATCTATTGCTTTCTGTAGGTTGGAGGGATGATTATCACGATATCCTGGTTTTTTTCCAACCTGTTCATCAGATCGATGCCTCTGAGGGGATGAATTGAATAGTGAAAACCGCATCCCTTTCTAAGAGGTAGGTGTTCCTGCCAACTTCTTGGCAGTATTGGTCAGGCCAACCACGGCACTGCGGTCAGTTTTCTTTTTGGGAATCTTTAAATCTAGGTAATGTTCTTTTTATGTGATCTTTCTAATATTTTTGAAGTTTCAGTACTGCTCTTCCCTCTATTTTTTGGAAAGGACTTTGGGAGAGTATATGAACCATTTGTGTTCTCTCTGGGGTTTCCCTCTTCTGGGCTTATGGCTAGTCCCAATGTCGTTTACCCTCGGCCTTGTTCTGAATGTCCCCCACCCCACCGACATGAACGCCAACGATTCGGACTCTGAAGTTGGTGCTGATCTATTGCGCAGGTAGCTTTTGTCCATCTGGTGAGGGTGCGTAGAACGATGGGGAAACTTTCCTTCTTGCTAAGGAAAGGGAGAGGTAATATGTGTGCAGATTTAACACAATATAATGCTACGAAGTTTTGAGCTACAGATGATATGACATTCAGGGTGGACTTTTGACGTGTGCGCCAATACGTAGTGGCCACCCTGTAAAGTAGACAGTAATGCAGACAACCATCAAAGGAATAGAGTCGACTGAGAATGTGTGGCCATGATCAGAGGCACTGAGGTCGAGCACTTCCGGTAGGACTCATTTCTTATTTTTGTATCTGCCTTAGACGTTAAGTGGCCAGTCTTCTTGCCAGCGACATGGGCGACAGGAAGGTGAAGCAGTCAATGGTATGGCGGTCGATCGGCCAAAATGTCCCCGTATTTCAGAAGGTTCATGAGGACACATGGTCAAACCAACAAGTTCACACAAACTTCCCACAGAACGCCGTCCGCGTGGTCGGGCAACCGAACTCTTATGTTGCGCTGTGGTATCGTAATGGAAAGCCGGTTATGGGAAAAGCCTGGAACGACTCCGGTGTCGTGCAGGTAAGTCATGCTAAGAAGCACTCAAAACCAGATCTGAGCAAAAAGATTCCACTGGCCAGTACGTATCAAATCATTTCCTTCAATTCTCCGGTTGTCGTGTTTCAGGAGAGGTCGCCCCAACACGGCGAGTCGGGGTGGTTCAGTGCCCTCGTGGCCTTTCCCAGGCACACGTCGTTCTATGGGCCATTCCCGATGACCATGCAGTTTCCTACATGCATACCGTCAGCACTGCTGGGCCTCACGGGTTCCTAATTCCATGAACAGGAGAGTTGATGGGCTACAGGTGGCAACAACTCCGCAGCACAAGATCTATTACGCTTCAGTCGGGTCCCACCCTAGCGTTCACCCAAGCTTACCCTTGCCTGCGACACTTGTACACGGCACAACACAAATTGAACGCATAATTTATTGGCGCTAGTTTCATTGACGTCCTACATCTTAGTTCTTGCCGGGCGTTGAGAGATAAGCCGGTTTTTGCAGTTCGATGAGTGCCCTGGTTGCCCAAGGCTTCGATGACCGCTTCTGTCTCCACAGAGTCGAAGGCCTTCTTCAAGTCGATGAACGTGAGACAAAGCGGCATCTTGTACTCTCGTGAAACTTCAATGAGTCTTGTAACCGTGTGGATATGGTCGATCGTGCTGAACCCTCTTCGGAAACCCTGCTTGCTCGCATGGCTGTCCTTCATCTAGTATTCTGCCGATCCTGTTAAGGATGACTCGAGTGAATAGCTTGTAGATTACAGACAGCAGGCAGATTGGGCGATAGTTGCCAATGTCGTCCAAGTCTCCCTTCTTGTGGTTTTCCACTGAGGGGGTACGTTGCATCCCGACCGGTAACGCGTGAAGAAGTCGAGCCAGAGTTCTGAGACCAACTGGCGGTGTTTTTCTTCAGACCAGATTGGTTCCCGGGGGCAACCGCCGGAAGTCCTTTCCCGTAAGCTCCCCTCCTCCTCTCCTTATCCTCTCCTCCCTCCACTGCTCTCCAGCTGCCACTGCAGCACCATGTGGAATGACCGGAAGTGTGCTAAGTAGGTGTTTATATAGCCGTTGGGGTGTTATCACAATCATGCCATTGCAAAACATTGATAGCTCAAAGTCCTGCGAGCTACCCATTGTTAGCGGTTTGTTTATCCCATGAGCTTCCTTATCACTCACTTCATTTTGCGGACGGACACACATACAGACATACATACATACAAACCGACACACCAAGTTAGCGGCTTATATAGTAGAAGGATTGCGGTTCAACCCTGTCGGGACCGGGTTTTGAATCTTTTGTTGCCAACATGATGGACATGTCGGACTTCTGGAAAAGAGAGTATAGAGGACATATTCATCCTGTCGCGAATGGTAAGTAGGCAGATGGACATGGCCGTCGAAGAGATCCGGATAGAAGTCGAGCTTTGAAGAATAATAGATTAGCCAGCTGAAAAGGTTTTATACTTGTTGTTCACGATAATAGGGGAATTCCAGCGCAATACCTTTCTCACTACCACTCTGGGTCCCGTTCATATTTGCGACATATGTGGGAGATCACGATAATAGGCGACAGGGTGTTACGGTAGTAACAGAGTAGGATATGCGCTGAAAAGATTAATTACGTATTGACAAGAATCGGTGGAGAATAGATGGGCGTCACCGAGTGGACCGATCGATAAGCATTTGATGATGTCAGCGCACACTATAATCAGATACAATCTTGATCTCTCAACCAATACCCATTTTCCTCATTGCTGCCTACTGTAATAATTTCCGGAATGGCAAACTATGAACGCGGCTGTAGAGTACATGTAGTTGATGCGACATCATTAATGACGAACTGTTGCCGTCTCGCCACAATACTATCCGGTGTCGCGGACCGCGACGTCGCGTCTTATTGTTAGGCGCATCGCGTGCCCGGACTCTGTCGCGCCGCTGCTCGCGTTGGCGGCGCATGAACCCAGACGGGCGTGCTCTGCCAT